AAGCACCTAGGTGCTTTTGAAAATCCCATTAGGTGCCTATCTGTGTCTTTAGGTGTCTAAATATCTTTGTAAATCAGGCCCTTTGTGGATATGGAGGCTGAATTATCCCATCACTTTAGTGGGGTGGCTTTCCGTATCACAGGTGATGTATAAGGACTAAACATTACGGTGAAGTCCGTATTGCTGCTGCCACTTCTGTACCTGTTTGATTGATAATCCTGGAGAATGAAATCCAGGATTTATCTGTCTGGTACCTTACATGAACACTAAATTCACTACCTTCTCCCCCGCACTTCAGTTAACGCATGCTACTCCACTCGTATTTACATTGTTCTATTAATATATAATGGCTGCCATTTAAAAGGCAGCATTTGCCAAAAGACAACATTTGTTATCTAGTTTTATACACTGGTGCCCATAACTGCAGTATCTGAGCATCTGATAATTGCCAGGGATAATGGTGGTATATTAAATACCACAGTGGGAATACTATTGACAATATAATGTACAGTAGTCGGCATTTATCTATTAGTAAAGTGCTGGGAGAGAACATTTAGATATGTGCTCTAACTTTAAGATTTCAGGATGCTATTTTACATTTCTACCCGATCTTGGTATGTTTGAAAATTAGGGTTTCAACTTGTGCCCATTGAAGTCACTGGTAAAGCTCCCATTGACTTCCTTGGTGCAAGTGCAATACCCCACAACCAACACAATGGCAATTAACTTCGGGGACTGGAGAGCTAAAAGCATGAGCTGCTACAGTTGCACTATAGAGTCAAGGCTCTCTTGTGGGGGCTGAAATAGCTCCATTTCTCTGTGGATCAAGCATTGTGGGGGACCTATAACATGCACTCACCAGTGGGTTACACAAGATTAGCTCCAAAGTGTAAATACTTAAGTACATGCTTAGGCTGGCGTGAGTAGTGCCATTGACTTCAATGGGGCTACTCTTATGCTTCAAGTTAAACACATTGTTTGTAGGATTTTGCAGTATCCTCCCCATCATTTTCATTGTGGCATACAAAAAATATTGCTACTGGATCTCGGAAACCAACCTTATCATTTATTGCTGCAAAAGCAAATCTGATGGCTTTATGTCTTCAGGTTGGCAGTTCTACTTGGATCCCCCAGTGCTTACTTTAATTAGCCATCATTGGGGCCAGAGTTCAACCTTCAACACTTGTAAAGTATGCCATGGACGTACAATCTAGTTTCCTGTTTAATGTTTCGGGACTAATTATCTACAGCCAGTCTCTGTTAAATAACAGTACTAAATGAGTTGGGTAACTAAAGTGAAGTGTTTTTTCCAATTAAATTGAGCTGTCAGCTCACTTTGACCTTGAGTTTCTTGTGATTGTATTGGCCCAGCTCTTCCGCCCCCCTCCCCCCACCCTGCAATTTGCAACTCCCACCAATATGAAACTATTGTTGTTTTTAAGCTTTCTGAAATACAGTTATGCCAGTTGGTGTAGCCAGGACATACATTTGTTCTCAGTGGCAGCAAACTAGACTCGGAGTTTTCACAAATATTAATAACAAAGTTATGCCCTAGCCACACCAGCCAACCTAAGTGTTTACAGAAACTGCTTTTAAAACCTATGGGGCAGATCCTCAGCTGCTGTAAAATGTCGTAGCTCCATTGACTTCAATGGCCATATCTAAAATGGTTTCCTAACATGAGGCATGTGAGTGTTTTTTGGAGCCTAAATCTATTTCAAAATCAGATGCTACAGGTGAGCTGAACTTTACTAGAAAACGTAAAAATGGCTCATCGGAAAGAGTGGATACCACTGAGAGTGGATAAACACCAGAATCTTGAAATCAGTGTGGGTGAGCTTACGCCTGGAGTTTCAAAGTCAGTTACTGGACAGTGCACCAATCCTGTGTCAGACTGGCTTCACTTCTGTAATTACTCTCTGAGTAGTACTCAATAGCACAGTTCACTGCCTCAGACATCAGGGTCTGTTCTGTGATGTTTTTGGAGAATTTCTTTAATAGTTTCTCTATCAACCCTGTTTAAATGAAGCATTCTACTGTCATAGTGATACCTGCTGGTGCTTCTCTAGCTCAGGATCTTTTTGACTATACTACAGATACATTGGGCAGAAATTATGTGTAACAATAACCATCAGAATCTTGTCTAAGCCCTGATCCCACAAAGACATGTGCACATGCTTAACTTTTAGCACGAGTAATTCTGTTGAGTTCAGTGGCACTACTCACATGCATTAAGCACGTGGGTGTTTTACAGGATCAGGGCCTTAATGGGAATATTGTGAAATGAAAAGTGGAAGGTATAACTCCGTTCTTGCATCTTTGTATTGTAGGAATCTCATTCTATGCATCCAAAGAAGTGGGCTGTAGCCCACGAAAGCTTATGCTCAAATAAATTTGTTAGTCTCTTAAGGTGCCACAAGTACTCCTGTTCTTTTTGTGTATACAGACTAACATGGCTGCTACTCTGAAATTTGTAGCTTCTGTTACATAACAAAAAGTGCGATATCCCTTACAGACAACAGGTACGCTAATAATACATTTTTGTCCTAATTATTAGTTCAATAGATTTTAACAGTTTAGGTTGAACTCTTAATTATTTGAAGAATTTCTTGTATTTATATGCTCTTCCTACAGGGAAAAAGAGCAGTGCAAAGTTTCCCATTCTGCCTCATTAATGAGACTTAGTTTTAAATTTGACCCAGGATTTAAT